GAATTTGCTGTCAAACAGCCATAAGCTGGACACGTGTTACATGCAGGAATTGCCATTAGAGTCCCAGAAATCCTCGCTTATTGAAGCAATAAATCTGCGACAAAACTATTCAAAAGTTCACGGCACTGCGACTATGCATAAAGGAAAACAGAAGCTGCATACGGTAGTAAACAGAAAAATGGCTTCGCGACTTAATGGAGTGCAGACCATTAGTGAAACACATCACCGTAATATGCCGATATCCGACGACGTCGCACGGCATAACAGTCGAAAGACTAGGCACAGTCATGAGGCTATCCTGCGGTATATGAGGGAACGCCGTGAAAATGATATAAAAAGGGAAAAGATGAAAGCTCTGAACGCGAAGAGGGAGAAAGCGGAACGAGAGAAGAAGCTAAACAACGTGATTCGGCGTCAACGGCAGCTGGCTTCCCAGGTCGTTGCTTCGTCGGACACTGGGCGAACCGGCACCGCTGTTATCGAAGGTGGCGTATCTGATGAAGACCGTGCGAGAATAGAGCAATTCAAGTATGTCATTATTTGCGTCAAGTACCGTTTATTTGAATATTCTTGCAGAAGGAAGTACCTAAAAAATGACAAATGCATCGTGGCAAGGGGTGTGACGCGAATAAATCATGACAAGGAGAAACGAACTGTCCATGACCATTCAGTAGAAAACAAACCAACTGCTTCAGCAACCAGTGAGTTTCAATTTGAACGAACGAGTTTACACAGTGAACGAAGTTTATATTTCCTGTATATATGGATGTTTATGTAAAGAGCATCGGTAGGCTGTTAAAGAACGGGCTATTTGTCTTTAGACTGGGCAGATGTTCTCGAAACTTTTATATATGCTGCACGTTTTTAACCAATCGTTTTTCCACTTGAGCCCGATATTTTTTTTGGCTGCTGAAATATCAGCTTCAGGAACGCAGCCCACCGGCAGGCAGGTGAGCTCCATGAGGTGAATTTCAAAAAGCAACGATGCAGGTGGCATCCTGATCACATGTCCAGGCCATTGCATTTGTGATTTCTCAGTCTGGACAATGAGCGATTAACAGTTGATAGCATATCGAATTACCGCTTTCTGCACTTTCGAGCCTCGTTATACCAGCAATCAGTCGCAGCTACCTCATTCCTTTTGCTTGTAATGCGCTTGTATTATATATGCATGCTGCTTGCTTGCATTCGTCGGGTCAAACACTTTTTGTCAGTATATTACTCATGACATCAGGTATTAAAGTTGCTTTTCTGGCGTATTAGAAATTATGAAGACTAATATTGATTGTCATTGTCTGTCCCAATTCCAATGGAAGCTCATGAAGTTTTTACTGTTGATTAGTATGACCTCCTTGTTGGTCTTGTTTTTCTTCCTGATCCTGCGGGGATCGCGTTCTCCAAATAGTGACATCAAGTTAACTTACCCGTCCGTAGGTCTCGATGAAACCAGCTTATGTTGCCGTTTATTTAGTAAATCATGTATGAAAGTACGTTAACGTACTGCGCAGGATAATCGATGAAGCAATGGCTCAATGCTGAGAAATTTTTTACTTACCTCATGAGCATTCGAAAATGCGGATGTATGTTATCTTCAGAACAATAATAGCAGCGGAAGATGCGGTTGACAGTACGCTAAAGAAAATCAGTTATCAAATGGATGAAATTTTAACTGATGCGAAATTGCATATCGAATAAGAAAAACCAAAATAAAACGGATATAGAGCACAGCGAGTCATCTGTCAATTTTGCCTAGTCGGTAAATCTTAGACAAGGTGTCTGAGGGGAGGTGGTGCCAAGAAATGGTATAGCAAAAAATGGAGGATGAATAATGTGATTTGTTCCAGTTTGCAGCACCGTGGACTTAATCTTTATTCATTGCCGGGTCTGCGAAAAATTCTAAGAGTATTTCAGTCAGGTTTTTGCATTATTCGTAGACGTACGTAAAGCTTACTACAAGTAACCCAGTGGAGCTATGAATATTACTGCAGCAATATGGAGTCAACAACCAGCCACTGAGGAAGGAGGCGTTATATTCCTATAAAACTGATCCGAAGACCGTGTCTGGATTAGTTGCAGGAACACCAGACCGTTCACTTTTCTGATTGATCTCTGACAAGGATGTGTGTTATTTCCTGTCCTAGTGATATTTTTTGTAGATTCGATCAGCGGATCCAGCCTACACACGGAGAACGTAACAGTGATAGTAGTTCGACTGAGTCATTTATTGTTTGCAGATAATCTATCATGTGTGCTTCTTCGAATAGCTACCTCCACCGTATTATCAGTCACTTCGCCGCAACTTGCAATTGTCCGGAATGAAAATCGACGCTTCTGAACTTTCGATGGAAGCTGCTCAGTGGGACCCCTCCGCTAAGTGGAGTGCAAATGAAGAAGGCAGAGAACTCGAAATTTGTCGGCATAGTATCAACTAGTTGTGGCGGGTAGGATGTGAAAATGGACATTTATCTGTCAGACAAGGATTGTAATACGGAAACTGAAACGGTCTGTAGCGATAATGATGGATCTGAGTCGTAGTGATGAGCTGTTTGTTTTCAAGTGTGTATACGCATCTACCCTTACCAAGACAGAAACAGTAGTAACGGGATTGTTTTTGTGGTGAAATTCGACAAGATCCGGTACGCGCTAATCGCGATACGTTCGGTTGTAAGTCGCTTCTTTAACATAATGACGGATCGCAACTGTGATGGTTTGAAGAACATGTGATCAAGATGCTGCGAAAGAGGTTTGCAAGGCGGACGATTCTCGGTGGAAAGAACATCGCAAGAAACTAGGGAAGACGTCACAGATTTGACGGTTAGACTATGCCTAAAATATCCTGACATTGTCCTGCACTTGTACAATCGGAAATTGCTTCGGAAGCCTCTGTATCCGCTACCCCAAGGAAATAGTGGACATCAAAACCGAATAGGTGGATATGTGAGTTAGTAATCTACTGTCGCTTGACCATCAAAGTGACCTTCTCATTCTGTGAGGTGAGCTTCCGTAACCGCGTACGGTGGACATCATGTACCGATTACCTACGCCAGACAAGGAACGAAATTTCCAACATGCAACGAGTAGCTTACCTTTTGTATTATTGACTTCTGTAATCATGGATGTCTTGATTCCTGCGTGACTTGTACGTTGAGAGCTGAAACCGCTCGTTGTGCAGTTCCTTTCCTCGATAGCGATACATTTTACCGCCGCTTGCTTGTAAATGTTTTCTGTAACACACACTGGAGAACCAGCGGGTACACATCCACCTTTGTCAGATATTTGCACTGCGGACTCTGTCGACATGCATCAGCCCAGCGATTCGCCTCAGAAAGCTCATTTTCATCCGATTGAACCAGGGTTCGCAGTTATTCTGGCATGGCCCGTGACCATAGTAAGCATGAGGATAAAAACTGACTAGATAGACTGATAGAAACGAAGAGCTTCCTCTTCACATTCAGCTCCATCTTAGTCTCAACGGTTCGGAAAGTTCACGAAAATTGCTGTTGGCCACCCTTATTTGCCAGCAAAACTCTTCTTTCCATTTTCCATCGCCCCGAAGTACGACCTGAGGTATGGCTCCTCTGTGGTAGGTGAATTTCTGGTACTTTGCTTGTCTGCAGAGTGCAGCGGACAGGGGAAAAATAAAGCACCATGCTTTTGGTTATAGACACCAAACACTCATGTCTGCTTCGTCGCACTCGGCTGCAAATTTTTCAAGCATGTGTAAAAGTATTGATTGCAAAATGAGTATTCTACCACATCGCTTATGCTATTCTAGTTTTAAACTTTCTTTTTTGCCCTTTCCTTAGTGTCCTTGCATTTTCACTCCCATGTCATCTAGCAAAACGTTATTTACACTGCTTCGTCCTTACCTAATAATCTCAGAGTTCACTTAATTTACTGGTAATACGTCTCTCTGCTCAAATCCTATATGGTGCCCACTTTACAACAGGTAGTAAACATATAATTGGCTTTCTTTCGAGAAAACTCTTTTAGGGTGCTCTGTAGTTAGTAACTGAAAGATGAAACGGCGGATTAGCTCGTGTTAAGAAGCCTCCAGCAGTTTTCAACTTTTGCAGGAAGAGCATTTGATAGCTGGGAACTTGACCATTCACCATCTGTTGGAAACTTATAACTGTGAAGTCACTATTTTAAATAGTAAGAGCAAAGCAAATAATGTAATAACAGTGATAGGCGACTCTTCCATCATCGAAGGTTGCGACCCAGCCTGCGTCAATGAACAGTTCAGTTTTACGGATCGTTCACTTAGTGAAAAGCATAGAAAGCAAGTAGTTTGTTTTCGTTTCTAGAGTTTTCGGGTTAAAATCTCATATGCATCGTAATTTTTGCTTTTTGACTGCTAGTTCCGTTCAGCGAGGAATTTACCCTACCGTACCTCTGTGCAGTCAGCTAGAAATGGGTGGCAAGTTGTTTACCTGTGAACAGTAGGGGCAGAGTTCTGATCTGGTATGGTCATGTAGTAGTACGAGAGTGCAAGACGCATCGTCATGTGTTTGATGTGTGCACCTTACGAATGTAATTCGTCTTTATTCATAAGATATTTGACTAAATCCGCACAAGGCTTTTGAACTTACGAGTTATTCATCCCGTATCTTGATATGCACCAGAGGTTCAACTGGCTCTCAGCTAGAAGAAGTCTGCGTTCGAAAGGCAGCTGGAAAGCAGAAAGCCTTGAACTCAAATACATTATGAAGAAGCTCGTTTCGCGGCAGCTAAGGCAGTGAATAAAGCTAAGCGAATTCATGCCACTGCTCGCAAACGAAACGATGGCAAATAGAAATTTAGTTGCTGATTCATCCTCTCCAAAATGGAAAGAATGGCGGGCTAGAAACTCTGGAGACAAGTCCTTCTTACTAAATAAGATCATAATCCTCCTACAGTGGTGATAGTACTTTGAGTATGTTGCAGATCTTCCGCCTGTTTCTTAATTTACGAAGAAAGGCTGTTTAAGATTCTTAAAGGACAAATCTTGACGCGTTCTTGCAAATTCGAAGGTTGTACTACAGCGATAGTCAGAATATTTAAAAGACAACTTCTTAACCACCCTTAAGAAGTTCAAGGGGACTCGCTTGAAATAGTTCAAGAGAGATATTGTTTCAGATGTTGAAGTCTTGAGAACTAAAAACGGCTTTGAAAGGGACACTGCTGTTAAAGTTTATGAAATCTGCCCTGAAACTTCATGCGAACAAATCGTGTTGTGGCTAACTCGTTTCTATCAAACTGTAGTGAATACGGGAAGACAGCGGTCGACTGGGAAGCAAAGGTTATAGTGTCTCTGCTTAAGACGGGGGATCATGGGTAGTGCTCAGAATCTCGGATCGTTACCCTACTGAGCCTTTCGGGGAAAATCTGCGTAGAGGTGTTGAAAAGGATGTGCCGCGGGATAGCCGGCTCCAGTATACAAACAGAATATCTGGCCTTCTGTCAGGCTGAAGTACACCTTACCCATTCTTAGCCTGGCTCCAGATTGTTAACGAATTGTTGTAATTCGCTCGTCCTGTTTACGCATCTACGCGCATCGAGCTATGGGCCTACCTGCAAACATATGGAATCGGTGACCAGTTGCTAAGAGCTATCCAGTCACTACATGCCAATTGCATGTGCTGTTTCATAGTAAATTGTATTACGTCAAATGAGTGTGACTGTTGTAATTGAGCCGTGTGCCGAACTGTACGAGAGTGAGTGTTAAGATGACGTTTTGATATGAGTATTAGTCTCCGCTAAACGTGCACTCTCTTCTGTTATTCCTGTTTCAGATAGATGAAATAGTCAGTCTTAGCCAGAAGTTTGCTCTTTGCAGACGACCATGTTTTGTTTGTATCATCTGCAGCTGACCTCCAGTGCTCTTTGGCAAGGTTCGCGTGGTCTACGCTGAATAAGATGTGGTCTGCATGCGTATGAACGTGTCTGGAACCAAAAGCTAGTGTGCAGATAAGCGATGGAGTGAAACAGATGGAGAAGCATATCGTTCCTCAGGATCGTGTTTAGTGGTAAGGGAAAATTGCAGCAGGAAACTGATTGGCGATTTGGGATTGTCAGTGACGTTATCCATTGACTGTCCCAAACCGATATGACTAATGCATAACCGAGTTTGAATGCGGAGCTATGCGTGCCGAGTCGGATTTCATCCACATGCTGATCTGAAGGTGCGAGTAGTTGGCTATGACGAATAGCTGTGCTAAAGCGTTTCGGCAAAGTCCGGAGTTCAGATATCCGCGTACGTTTCAGTGTACAGGTGCTGCCTGTCCAGATTTACGAGTCACAGCTGTGATGATTTGCGCACATTTTGCGATTGCTTTCAGAATTGGATACGAAACAACTGCTGTTTACTCAGCTGACCAGGCGAAGACTCCGATGGTGGCCAAAAATGAGCTGGGAAAGTACATCGATTGGCATTGCTCCCAACTCGGGTTGCCTGCTGTCGAAACTCAGACATTAGCGTGGGATCAGGAGAGTTGGAGACAATATCTGTCTTTCTCCGCCACCCTGAAAGAATGAGCGGTCGTCGGAACTGACCGAATGACCGTTATAAATTTGTTCCTTTCTTAGCCTTTCCTTTATCCTTTCTCTATTAAGATATACGATTTAACGCGAGCTGCAACCCTATGTCTATACAGTATGATACACACTTGCTAGGCACACCAGAGAAAAATACATCCGATTGAAGTAAATTAAACGAGATCACAATTTTAATGCAAATGCTTTCTTGACAGTATAAAATTATTTTAAATTCACTACTATTCTGTATTGTTTGTTATCTCGTCTTTCTATTAGATGAGTGATTGGAGGTTCATATAGCATTGCATATGTAGGTGAGAGGTTGAACAAATTTTAAAAATGAACAATGTAGTAAGTGAAAGCTGAACTTCTTTGAGTGTTGAGAAGGTAATTATTGTTGGTTGGCAATGACGCAGTGGATTGTGATGTTAATTTGCATGCTATATGCCCACGTCGAATCTGACTTGGTAAAATTGTTTTACCAGAACTTCTGGTCCTTACGGTAAGGAATGTAATTTGAAAAATTTGATGCAACCAGCCCAGGAGCAGGCGGCAAGATGTGACATGCGAATGATGGAAGCAGCGCGATTCTCTGGGGTTGTCATATCAAAACGGCCATGCTCTGGCATACTTGAGTTTCATGGTTGCAATTTGCATGAGTCAACTGTATAGCTAGTCTATAATCCGCAGTGAGTGTGACCCTGTTAGATAACGCATAACTCATCCAAAACCAGATTTCACAGCATGTTGCACCGCCCCTTGTTCCTAGCTGCCAAGGGAGCATTTATACAGTCCGCTGCTCCATGGCTTTTCAGCGCCTGCAATGTAGTTGCAACCCATACATAAATAAAAATAAATAATTGACCCACTAAGGGAATGAGAGGCAAACGTTGTGAAGATATTTGTCTTAGTAGACTGTAGGCATTCGACTCATGCTATATCCTACTCACACTCCTGCTGGACCCATGTTGACTCGTCCTTTAGCCCGCCGTTTGATTGCAGGCCTTTTCATCTATAAATACCATTAGTTTCAGATATTAACCTAGCGCGGTTTCCTCATCACTGTCGATAGGCTATCCGCATTTTTATTGTTTTGTTAATGCTGTTATTTATTTCCTATCTAACCAGTTTCATTGCTGATAAGTACGTTTCTTTGTTGTTATGCTTTTGCAGTGATACGATACATTTGGCATTTGGGGCCAACGACGCAGTGCCGTGTGCAATTTGTTTAGTCTTGAATGATGTACATAACAGATTTTACATTCCGTACCTTCTGTGCAGTGGCTCATTTAATTTATAGGTCTACCAGACGAAATGATGGGTTACGCTCCATGCGTAAAGCAAGCTTTGAAAGGTGACTCTGCCTCACAAACGGAAGCTGCGGACTTTATGACTCAATTGCCATTGAAGGCGATCGACGCTTACACCTCTATCAATGAGGATGGTACGAACACAAAGTTAGGGGTTTCAGGTCCTAACGAGATGAACGTGGAACGGTGCCTACCCGCAGTTGCCGACAAAATCAATGCTCAAAAGGTGAGTGAACGAACGTCGTTGTTCCAAACGTTACAACGTTTTTCGTCATGTAAAGCTGA